GATGGAGGATGAAAGGAGTGCAGGGACCCCAGCTCACCACCACCCCCCACCTCTCTGGGCTGTCCTGCACCCTTTTCCTAATATCCCATTGGGTTTTTCTGCGCCTTTCCCAGGGCTCTGCTGGGATGAGTGGGGCTCCATCCCCCTTTAGGGGTACTGGCAGGGAGGGGGGGCTGATGCTGCCTGTCTCTGCCCTTGCTCCCCCAGACCCTGCAGGGTCCCCCGAGTGGCATCCAGCTCCAGACCATAATTTGGCAGCTCTTCACTGTCCTCCCAGCCCCGACTGGCAGCATGTGGGACCCATCTCGCTGCAGGACTTGTGCAGTGGTGGGGAACTCAGGGCGGCTGAAGGGGTCCAGCCACGGGCTGCGGATTGATGCCCACGACTGGGTGCTGAGGTGAGTGTCCCGAAGGGGCTTGGCCTCTCCCTATCTCCCTGGGACCCTGGCATGCTCCAGTCCCTGGCCACCCTGTGGAATTCGCCTACACAAGCCCTGCAATGGCTGGGGGGCTGCTGGCCCTGCCCCCTGGAGTCCCCTACCCTGGGGCACACACCAGCCCTGTGTTGCCCATGTCCCCTCTTTGCTGCTGGCCAGGGTAACCTGATGTCCCTGCCAGGTGGGACCGGCAGCCTGGGACCGGCACGGTGTGCACCTTCGTTTCAGGATGTGCCTTCCTGCTGTCTCCTAGGATGAACAGAGCAAAGATCACTGGCTTTGAGCTGGATGTTGGCATGAGAACAACCCATCACTTCATGTACCCGGAGAGTGCAGTGAACCTTGGGCCCGGCGTCCACCTCGTCCTTGTCCCCTTCAAGCCACTGGACCTGCAGTGGGTGGCCAGCGCCTTTTCCACTGGAGAGATCACGCAGTGCGTTGGCTTCAGGGGATGGCATCTCTTGTGCTGGAGGCCCTGGGGATGGCACGGGGTGGTCCTGGGGACCCTGGGGCCTCACTGGGGCCCTGGCATCACAGGCCTGGTGGGATGAAGGGCCCCTGGGCGAGGGTCGTAGCACCCCTCTGCACCACAGTTTGGGGAAGTGGGCACTGATCCATCCCCGCAGGGCTTGGGCATCCTGCAGTCCCATAACCCCCATGGGTGGGATGGTGGCTGTCCCCACTGTGGGGCCATGGGCTTGATGTGTCCCTTCCCAGACCCAGGCCAGGGGATGCTGCTGGGCCAGCCCAAGGGACTGGGGGTGCATGGGGCCGGGTCCTGGTGGACACAGCCACGTTCTGCAAACCACCTGCCTCCGAAGGAGAGGCCTGGCAGCAGGAGTGCCCCACGCTCACTGCTGTCCTCTGGCTTTTGCAGCACATACGTGAAAGTGAAACAGTTCATCAAAGCTGACAGAAACAAGGTAAGGGCTCAGCAGGCCCCAGCTCCTCCTGGGCAGGCAGAGCTCCTCCGGGCAGAGACAGGGCTTGTTTTTCGGTGGGATGCAGGCAGAGCCGGTGAGCAGGAGGGCCGATGGCTGCGCTGATGGCAGGGGCTGGCTGTCCCCTTCGCAGCACGGTGAGCAGCTGATGGCTCCTCTGCTACCCACTCAGGTGCTGATCCTGAGCCCAGCTTTCCTCAAGTACATCCACGACAACTGGACGCAGCGCCACGGGCGGTACCCCTCCACCGGCTTCACAGCCCTGCTCTTCGCCTTGCACACCTGCCAGCAGGTGAGCGTGGCCAGCGGGACCGGGCACTGCTGCTGTACCACCACTGCACCGCTTGTCTGCACACTCGCAGGCTGACTGAGCGCCCGTGCAGTGATGGGTCTTGCTGGTGTGTGCACAGGTGTCCGTGTTTGGGTTCGGAGCAGACAGTGAAGGGAACTGGCACCACTACTGGGAGAAAAATCGCGGGTCCGGAGCCTTTCGCAGGACAAGGGTCCACGACGCTGACGTCGAATTCAGCCTCATTGAGAGACTGGCAGCCGAAGGCAGGATTTTATTCTACAAATGATGCATTTCCAAGAAACTGAAGCCAGGCTGTTAGCGCAGTAACTGGCAGCCCCCTGCACTACTGGCAGCTGCCTCAGCTCTTTAGCTTGCTTCTCGCTGCCACATGCCCGGGCTCACAGACCCTCCGATCCTGGGGTCTCAGTGCTGCTTGTGCTGGTCCCATGAGCTGGGCACTGTGGGTGCCAGGAGGTGTAACGCTCCCATGGCACCAGGGACGTTGCATTTGCCTGGACACAGGGTGGGCACGGCTCTGCCCACACTGGCTGGGAGAGAGGAAGGGGTGACAGTGGGGCTGGAGGTGGATGTGGAGCCCATGAGCTGCTGTGTATGTCCCCGTGAAGCTGTTGGGGACACACCACAGCAGTGGTGCTGGTGACAACTGCTCAAATGTGGCTGTCCGCATGACGAAGCTGACATTAATGGTTGGACTTGATGATCTTAGAGGTCTTTTCCAACCTTAATGATTCTATGATTCTATGATTTCCACCCACCGATGTCTTTTGGCAAAGGTTCATAGTTGTTCTTTTGTCTTTTTATAACTAAGGAAATATTTTTAAAATTGCATCAAAGAAGAGTAAGAAAGGAAAAAATCAAGCATGCTAAGACAACAGAATCAAGTACAGTTGAAGTGATCTTACGTTGAATAAACTTTGAAAACACGCATGAAATCTATTATTAACATTTGCTTTACTTTTTGAGCCCCTACTGCTTTGAAAAGACAGCACAATCTATCTCAACCCCACCCTGCAGAACAAGATTGCAGACCCTGGCAACTGAGCTCCCCAAAGGAGATCTTCTCCTCCAGAGCCAGGTTAGTAGGATGTCTTTTCCTACTTTCAATCACAAACACGAACATCCTTGACTCAGACTCAGCTTTTCCATGGCTATTAGTCACTTGGTCTTTCAGTGTATTAAAATCACCGGATCTCTCCTACTCATAAGCTCCCATTTTATAGCAGAAGCCTATATTACTTAACTATTAGCTTCGTTGATTTTCCACCTCTCCAGGTAGAATCTCCATTTCTGCATGTCTTCTGTTTCTCCTCCCCATTATATCCAGTTTCCCACATTGAGTACAAGTCTTACACTTACCTGCCCCTTCACCTTCCCTCTATCTTCTCTAGGTGCTAAGCAGTGCTCTGTGCTATGCTCTCCAATGCTTTTCTAAGGTTTACAAGTAACTGGCTTTCTTATCAAAGACAAGCAATTAGCTGGTAATTGTTTAACTGTGGGTTAAACTCTTACTACATTATTTCCATTCATCTTCCCCGTCCTGATTATTCTTCCAAATTTAGTTACAAAGCTGTGTTCTCTGCTGAGCGATTGAAGCTGTTCAAGTCACTTTTTGTTCCTGATAAAACATACAGATACTATGTCCCCTTCCTCACATTGTAGTAGTATTATATGATCCTGACCCGATGGATTTATTAAATACCCTTGTTTCAAATGTTTTGTTTTGTGTTGGTTAGTTTTTTTTTTTCCCTTCAGTATTCTAGCTTGGAGATTAATTAGCCTCCTTACCCACACCTCAAATTGCTTCTCTCCATGATTGAAAAAAACAAAGGTTTTTATACTCCCCAGTTTGTAGATAAGTTCAACTAATTAAAAAAAAAATGCACAAACAAAACCTACTTTCAAATGAATTACAAAATAGCTTTCTTTCTGCATTATCTGATCCTGTGCCTGTCACACTCACTGTATACTGTTGGACCAATTGCTTGGACCAAGTTTAGAGTCAATACCAAAGCAAATCCAGAGCCGAGATTTAAAAGAGTAGTGAGTCTGTTTTAGCACAATATTTTATTTTTCCTCATTATTTTCTCCCAATATAATTTCACATAGCAAGCACTTCACTCACTTGTGTAGATCACTACGATCATACACATCATCATATCTACATACTTTGCCACAATGCAGGTGTGTTGTTTAATTATAATTTCCAATTCAGTACCAGGATTAGTTAAAATAATTTAATTATTCTTCCAAATGCTTTACCAAAACACACAGAGGATGGACTTCAATATATTTTATATTTCAAATTTTTTATTTCAAATACAAACAGAGGGGAAGTGAAAAACACAATCCAATTTAAAAATCAATTAAAACTCCAAACACTTTTTTTGCTGAAACACCAACTTGCATCTTCCGTACGAAGAGCAATCTGGAGCAACTGCAATGCCCCATGGGACAGTAAGTACATCCCAAGTGCTAGGTCTCACCACATTGCCCAGGACAGCTGGAAGGAAAGTGCATGGGATTCAGCACATTTTCACAGAGGTCTGGCATACAGCATCAGCACACTCAAACATTTTTAAGAAAAATTTTAAAAGCTAGATAGTGTTGCTAGAAAGCTTATTTGATGGCAACTTCAATCCATTCCAGGTCTCATGACAATACAGTACATTATTCCTGGAGGCAAACAGAATGCAGTATCTCCAGCATCTCTTTCGGGGAGGGGGGCGGAACTGGATGAACATGGACTGACACAAAAGGGTTTTTACAGTAGGGTCTGCACAGCCAGACAATATGGCTAATCTTTATAGCAGCAAGGTTCAAGCAGATCCATCCACAAATTAATGCCAAACAAAAGAATGATGGGACAGTAACATAAGAGCAGTCAGCGCCATCTGGTAATTCCAAACCTCTTTTCTTGTGCACTCAGAAGATCACTTGTGTTTTGAAAAACCTGTTTAGTTCTCCTTAGAGTTTTTTTTTTGTGGGGTGAGGTTGTTGCTTATTTATGTTGTCTTCCCAAGTTCAATTTTCTTCTGGATGGCACGTGCTGAGTGATAGATCAAGGAGTCAATGAGTCCTGCAACTAAAAGGGAAAAACAGATGCATCAAGCCAGACATGCCTCAAAGACAGAACAACTCCCAGGGAAAGAAAACACAAGCCCTTTTGTCAGTAGAACGGAATTCCAGCTCCCTCAGACAGAAAACAGCTGCTGCTGCTCAGAAGAATAAGGTCCTCCTCTCATTAGGACAGACAAGATCCAGCTTGCAGGGCAGAGGTGATCATGCTTCTTCAGAAAAAGATCTCTCTTACAGAAGTAAAAATGAGACATGTGTTTACTGATGAGCAAGAAGAGTTTGGAGAGGAAACCGATGCCGAGAGCTTTATGCCATGTCATTGCCCTGACCCAGCTTGCCAAGGGCATGTTTGCCATTTCTTGCTCATTTCACAGTAACCTTAAAAGTAAGCTGCTCTACCCGATGCTGCCCTTTATGGATGCCCTTTATTGGAGACTGCAATGTTTACCCTTTTGTGTCCTCGGTGGACACAAAGCAAAACAAACTGATGCCTTTAGTTCTTTCTGCAGTATTTTCCCCTAATCTCTCCAGCACTGAAGAAGCCTATTAATTCAGTGCTTTTCTGGGACCACAGAAAAGCTCAGAATAGGTCTACTGCACCACAAAACCCAGACAACCCTGCATCCAACAAGGTGGCTTTTCACAGGACAGGAACTCTGAGCTCCTGTCAGGGAGGGAACACAGGGTGCCAGTAAGTGAAGGTATTTTCAATGCTTCAATCTAAGGAATAAGTAAGTGATTACTCTTGGCCCTACACAAAGACAGACATTTCAATACTATATAAAGAGTAGCAGCTAAAACGGGAACTGAATCTTCTGTTTATTACTGTAGAATACGGAATTACTGGCCTTACTATCTGGTCTTTGATGCTTCAGATGACTTTTGTGGTTGTTTTGCCCTGAAATTATCTCTACTTGTGCAATCAATTTGATGCTATAACACAAAAACTGTTACACACAGCTGATTTGATCTGTCCTCCAGAATATAGAGTCTGAACACGGCATATGGCAGCAAACACTATGAACTGGCTGTCAAACCTGATCAGTGCTAGAGGACACTTGCATTTGTCATGAAAATAATTTTTGAAAGCCTTTCCCTGAGTCAACCATAGAAATTAATATGATCAAACTCGTTACAGACAGAAATCCTGTTTAACAGTATCAAGTTATTTGAGCATTGTGACACCTCAGGTTGACGGGAAAACCTTCAGATAAAGGTATTATGTGATATAGCTATGTGATACAGGTGTTACGTGATACAGTAGCTGGCTTCTCAGGTCCACTCAGATCTGCTGACCAGATCTCCAGGCTGGCCCTTCACCGCCACGTGAGCATCTCCGACTATGTTTCAGAGCACCCTGGGATATTAGCTGGAGTGCAAGGCTGGACCAAGGGCTCTGTCACACGCACGGAGCTGAGCAGATACTGATTAGCTATTCCAGAAGCCAGTGCTGAGAATGAAGTCCAGACATTTAAATGGCTCTGCAGGAACAGTCTGTCCTTACAGGGTCCTATCTAGCTGTGAGGGCTACCTTTAGCCCCTGCAGAGCACTCACTGGAGTTCCTATGTCTGGGAGCACAGTTTGAGACCTCTGAGATGGCTATGCCTGTGGCGACCTGGGTTCACAGATTTTAATGGCTTTGGTTCCACATGAAAGTAACTATCTGCTTACAGACCCAAGCTGGCCAAGAAAACAGTACAGATGCATTCATACGGTATGTGAAAGACCACATTATTTGAAAACAAAATGTCCTGTAGAGCATCAAAATGAAATATTATGATAGGTCTACATCATAATGAAATGAAATATTTCATCAAATGAAATATTATAATAGGTCTACATCATCTACAGCATCTCGAAATTCTGCAGTGCTAATTACAATCTGATGCCACTCCCATGGCTCTGCAGAACGTGCTATATCCCCTCCTGAAGGCTGAAATCATCTCTCCCCATCAAACAGGGATTTATTACCAGCCATGCAGACTTCAGAAAGAGTAAGATGGCAAATGTTTACACTTTAGAAAGGAAAAAGATTGAAAGGTGCAATACCTGTAAATATGCCTCCAACAATGGCACAGACTCCTGTGAGAAAGTGTGTAAAGGACCTAGAATGAGCAAAAGAATTTGAACAACCAGCATGAGTTCAGATACCAATATGTCAGATAAGTAACAATTAACTAATAAAAACTAATAATTAATAACTATCATAATGTTCATCATAGCACATAAGTATGCATTATATAAATATTAATAGCTGCCAATTAACAGATTTAACAATTAAATAACCCCTACTGGCTACAGAATGGAGTTTGTCACTGATGCTTTCACTGAGAAGCATTGAGTAGCATTAGAGCATTAGAGCGAATGAGCTCAATGACAACCCTAGGAAGCAAATACTGAATTTATAAACCTAAAGGATGGACTTTTAATCCCCAAGATTTTATCCATTCCTACCAAGACAGAATGCACAGCAGGCTGCTGTAACACAAAAACTAAATCCCTAAGCACACGTTAATACATTTTAAAGTATAGACATCGGCTGTCCCTCATTATGATCCTAAAAGATCAGACAGCTACAACCCCTTCCATTCCCCTGCAATTACATGCCTGCGATTAATGGACTACCCAGAAAGAAGAAAGAGTTTCCATGCTGACTACAACATGCAGAAAAGCTATAGCAAATGCAAAGCAAGTAACCAGGTTGTGTGGGTGCTGCTGTAGGTGCTGGTAAGATGGATATGCTATATAAATCTAGTCTTCCCATTAAAAAAGACTTTGAGGAAATTAGTCTGAACCGAGAACCATTATATCAGACTTCTGCTCGCTGCACCGATTTCCTTCTCCATCTTCATACTGGATTAAAACTCTTCAGGTAGTATCAGAAAAACCGCAATCCGCTTCAGGTGTTCACATGGAGAGGAAGGGCATCTGGGAGTGCCTCTTCCTCTTCACTGACTGGGAAGGGGCTTGGATGGCTTTCAGGCATTTGCACTGTCGTGTCTAAGTGAGGATGGAGTTTTAAGCTACGCAAAATGACAAAATCAATGGAGGGTGAAGGAAATAGATTGAAATGTCTCTTACCTGTGTTTCTCTGTCAGCTTCACCATCATGGGAGACAGTTCATATAGCACAAATACACCAGGCAGACCCTGGTCTCCTAGTAGCCCGTTGGCTATTTTCTCATGTCGTGTAACTGAAAACTGGTTAGTCCTTACCACCTAGCAGGAAACAAACACAGCAAATATTGTTTTGTTAACGAGGAATAGGAAAGGCTGCTAAAACATGAGTTCAGTGAATCATATCAATGTAGGCCTGCCCACTCACTTGTGGGGGGCCTGACAGTGGTTACAAAGGGTCATAAAGAGCACCATCAGGATAAAGTCTGTTTTTGCTACAGGCAAAGCCTGTAGTTAAAGCCCCAGCTAGCCCAAAGAATGAGTGATGCATCAGTCCCCAGGCTGGACTGTTTTGGTCTCTGCTGGCAAGTAATGGCATAAGCCATCCCTCTTGACCTCAAGCCCAAGTCCATGTCATCCTCTACCAAAATATAGTCCGCCTAAGCATGCTTCAGGAGACAGCGCTGATGTGAGAAAGCCATATATATTCAAGAGTGAGAAACATACATCTGGCAGCACACTTGGATCCATAGTTACCGTAAGTATAAGCATCATGGTCTGCATAGATCCCTTTCCTGGTGACTAATAAAAAGCAACTCTTTTGACAGGAGAAGTCCTTTGAAAATTGAACAACAGCTCTACAGTACAATGTGAGATTTCATCAAGAGAAACAGAAGCCATGGTATACTGGGAGGTGGCCATAAGAATAGGGCTCCGATTAACTATCCTTTTTACTTCAGGAATTTCAATCATCCACAGAAACTGCAGAGGCATCCTGAATCCAAGCAGAATAAGCTCCAAACATGGCCTGAAGGTTCTCCCAATATCACCTCATAGCAAGTAACTTCCACCCAACTTCCAGGAAAAAACAGATGGGTCCTTTCTAGACAGGGGATTGAAGAAAGAGTCATCCACATAAGGATTTATCACATCAGAACGCAGTCTTGCAAACAGTTTCAATCTTTAGGGAAGATGAAGAAATACAAACCACATCTACCTTTCTAATGGATTCTGTTAGATTGCTCTGCCCATACTGCTCTAGGATAGCTTCACTTGAATGTCTGCATTGTATCTAATCTGGCTGTGTGGCTCCTCAGATTTGTGGTTCCTATGCAGCCTCTGAAACAACTACTAATCTGCCGGTGATTTACATTTCAGAATGCCTAAAGCAACATGAAGGTTGTGTGGATGTGCAGTTATATGTTGCTCTGATTGCAAAGATATGTGGTAGATGCCCAAGAGGGGCATGAGTTTGGGTGAAGAGCCTGAGGTGGTAAGGGTTCCCAGTGTTGTGGGGTTTGCACAGTGTTATAAAACTGCGTAGGACAAGGGAGTCAAATTCTGGCATACTTTCATCCACACGTAGATCAGTCCTTGCACTGAATGAGCCCCAGAACCACACCTGGGTTTCACCTTAGAGAAAACTGGTTTGGTGTTAAAGTGAAGCTGGGCATGGACCACCCATGCAGCGTAGAAGATACAGAACCAATACCTGGGAGACAGCTAGAGAGCTAAGCCATCTTGTACATGAATGTTCACAGGTGCATGTGGCACCCGTCTTCCTCACAGGATTAGATAAGTACACTGGGTAGCACTGGTAGTGAAGTCTGAACAACAGCAGAGTTGCTGCTTCTACTGGTGTTTTCTTCGCAAAAGAAACATAACAGCTTACATCATTCTGCTGCCCTAAGACTGTGGGGGCCCAAATAACAATAACTGACAGGTTCGGTTTGGTTTGTTTTTAAAAAAGAGGTTCTCCGTAGCTCTTGAGAACCCCTCCAGAATGATGGCAACCAAAATAAATGCTTCCAAATGAATGAAAGAAACAGTTCTTCCTGCTCCCTCAGGCTGGCTTCAGAAGGGACGTAAGTTTGTCTCTGTTCTCAGGATCTTCGTCTCACCCTGGTATCTACTTGGTAATTTATTTATCCTACCTGTCCCAAAAGGAGAACATATTCTGAAAGCAGGGCTGGAAATCCAGCCATGCTCTTTTGGAGGCTAAAGGAGTTTTTAAATTGGAGACAAGCTGATCTTGGGTTATTCTCCAAAGAACATTTTTAGGATCTCCTTGCTGCTTTGACTTCTCCTGAGCATGTACTATGAGGGACTCATGAGGGAACATGATGAAAATGGCATGGTCACTTCGATCTAGGTGGGATGGAGGAGGCTGAAATCTGCTTCATTACTGCTGCAACATTACAGATAACATTACACCATAGATACTCTTATTCTTGCTGGGCTGGTTATTTGAAGAAAGTTGAACAGATCATGTTGCTTCCACCAGAGGTCAGATAAGGTCAGCGTCAGAATACGAGGAGAAACTCTGAAGGCTTTCACTTGCCAAAGCAATAGGGAAAAAAGGTACTTACTTCACCATCTACTTTCATATACACCGTGGGGACCACTTTGACAAAATACTGAAACATCATGGAAGCTATAAGCAAAGACAGAGAGAGACAATTAATAACGGGCGAAGAGCTGGGAAGCTTAACTGACAGGTTAGGTAGACACAAATTCGTTTTGTTCAACTTGTCAGGGAACATCTTTCTGCACAACAGCTACTGGAGGTTTTCAAGGACAGTAAAGTTAATGTCTGACATGAGTTTTCCTTTTGCCAAAGTGAATCTCATTCCTGTTCCAACCAAAACCAAAAATACCAGCATTCTGGCCTTGACTAAATGGAAAATTTTCTACAAACCACTTATCTTGCTGTAGTTTTACCAGTAAAACTTCTTGAAAATTCTTATTCTAGCCTTTATATTTAACAGCATAGCCCTAAGAAAACATACTCAATTCTAAATGAGTATCCTATATCAGCTTCAATTAACTCTACAGTTTATTCCTATAGAAACATGGTCTCTATCATATCAGTAGATGAAGATCTGCATCAGTGAAGAAAAAAACAGGAGGAGAACTCCTTCTGCTGCCTTAGACCAGCCTGTTCCTTCAGTTCTCTTAAGGATAATGGAAGGCAGGAGTCACTTTGCAAACCTGTTTTGTATGAAATTCCCTAGAGGAGAAAATTATTCATCCATTTCTACAGAAGAAGTAATTCTTATATACAATATTTTTAGCTGGTCTGCAATAAATATACATTTGACATGCAATCTACTTCTCCCACTTCTTTTCCGGAGCATATCTTCAATTCTAATTCCTCAAGAATTTGCCAACTGGTTCTCCAAGGCCCAGGATGGAAATCTTCTGCCTACAGAGAGAATTTTACCAGCCAGCTTTGGGCCCCCTCTCAGAGTGTTTGCTACTCCACAGAAGAACTACGGCATCACGATCGTATCGAGCTTTTCATTTTTCTATTTTATTTTAAGCACCATCCTTTGATTTGGGTACAAGAATTAAAATCAATCGTGGAAAATTTAAAAGAACGGATTCAGGTAGAATTAACAATCCTACCACCACCTCAAGGCAAACGACTTTTTTCTCCAAGCTTTATTATATAACAGCACCCCAAGTACCTGCAAAGGCAAACTTTGCAGACTTCAGTGGATCTCAAAAAATAACTAATCTCTGCAGTGGCATATAAAGTGGTATGGTCAGGATCTTTTGTGGAAAATGCACACAAGCAGGCTTGCGTGAATAAACCAAGATTATAGTTTGAGCAGCAGTAGCACGAGGAGAGAATTGCCTTTCCTTCTCAAGCCAGCAAACTTGGAGTTGTCTAGAAAAGATCAGCAATATTTCAACTTCACCACAGTTGTTCATCCGTTACTGTTGGGTAGATCAAGGTCAGGCAGACACCATGGCTCTCCAGCAACTATCAATTAGGCCTTTTTTCTCTATCCTGCATCTTCTGGTTATCTCTATCTAGCTACTGGTTACGCAGTAGCTAAACAGGGCTCTCCCTGAACTACACCTGATGTAAGCATTTAATAATGATGTGCTGTACCTGCTGTTGTGCATCCATGAACACTGAAAAGAGAGATCTTTCACAAAGGTCACAGAAACAAAACACGTTGGCAGATTTGTTGCAGATGAATGGAGGCAGCTGTTCCAGAAAGAGCACAAGGTGGAGGAGTCCACGTTTTATGCAATGCTGTCAGGGTTCTTGCTAAAGACTGGGAACTTCACTCCTGTTCTCTTCTAACACTTATTAATACAGACACTTAAAAAGAGATTTCTCTCAGCTGGCTTTTACCTTGCTGTGCAGTGACATCCGTCCCATCCAGAGGGTTCACAATGCCTGGATAATCCCTTCCAAATGAGAGATGTTTGATATAGTGCGTCATATTGATCTGAAACGGAAATGCTAATAACTCAAACAACTGCACAGCATCTGAGGGGCAAGGTAAGAGGCCTAAAGTTAATTATTTGTGTATTTTTCTGAGTGTGGCTCTGGAACAGAGACAGGTCCTCCCTTCCTCTGTGCATCCTAATAATAAACTCCAAAGCACTTGCTCTTCTTTTTTATTCATGGGAGATTCCAAGGTGTGGAATTTCTCCTTTTCCTGCTGGAAATCCCTGGATCCCGGTGCCCTTCCCTCCCATCTACAGAGCAGGCTCTCCCACCCACTCCTCTCCCTGCCATAGGAGCACTATGCTGTCAGCTGCCTTGGTTGCATAGGTATGGATATCACCTGCTTCCCTCCCAGCACAAGGTAAACTCCAACAGATTCAGAAGCAGTTGTGAAAATGTCAACCTTACAAACCTGGAAAGCACAGATTAAGGAGCAAGGCAGTCTTAGGAAGAGGGGAACAGGCTTGCCAAGCAACACGCAGATGTCCCAGAATATACTTCAGAGCCCTGTGTGAAAGCAGGTCCCAGGTTCTGCTCAGACTCATAAAGCCAAATCTGGCTGGGATCAGTAACACTAGCATCTCGGTGTGGCAAAGGGAGGGAAATCCAGAAGGAAAATAGACCAAGAGAACTAGAACACTATCTTGGGAACACTTACATTATCAAGTCCAAAGCTCTGCAGATCGTGAACTGCAATAGAAAAATAGTTTAACGATATAGTTCAGACTGTGATAACAAGCATATCTATTTACCTTATTCTAGCTTATAAGGGAGCTCCTCTCATTTCCATTGCAATCTAAAATGGCAAGAAAATCACCTGGGTTTCTCTCTTGCTTGCAGTAGGGCATGTGATAGATAAAACTGCTGCAATTCCCCTCCTGACATAGACTACCCACTGCAAGAGTGAAGAAAAGTAACTTTAATTTGGAGTTAATTCAGATTAGGTATTTCAGTCCTCACCTGAATGTATTCTTAATCTAGGGCAAAAACAAGATCCTAGGGGCAAGCAAGGAAAACTTCACTGTTATCTCAGTCACCACCTGATACACATAACTCCTCTAACTACTGTAAAACACAGAGGCACAACAGATCTAAACTAACAACTGAGCAGAGCACTTGCCTTCATATCACATATAAGTGCCCTAAAGAAATCATGATCATCTTAGCAACTCTCAGCGCTCTGCCTATCAGCCTTGTTACTGCTGCCCAGAGAACGGACAGGGAAAGGAAAAATCTTTGCGGGGATGGCCTGAGCAGGGTATTTGCAAACCACTGGTGGAACCAAAGTGACTGTCACCAGTGCTAGGATATGGGGAATTTGGCCTGCCCTCTCTCTGCCCTTCCTGCATACAGCAATATGACGCTGCCGACAGCACCACGCACCCCCAGAAGGGATCTGACAAAGATACGGGCAATGGGAGGCAATGGATATCTTTTGGTTGGCTACTTAAATGACTTTATGCAATGCCAGAAGCATCAGTCTCAGGATGAAAATATAACTCACAACTCAATTTCAGTATCGCTCCTAGCAGGTTTATCCAAAGTCACACATGTACCTTAAAGTAGCCAGAGGCTGTGGCGCATTTTAACAGGTAAATTCACGTGCTCAGGAAGCCAGACCTCACCTTTCACCTTAGCAAAGAAAAATACACTTCAAAATTCGTGGGCGATTATTTTAGGAACTGATGGAGTCAGATCACCAAGTGCTGCTACATCATGAACAAAGATTAGAAATGCTGCTTCCTTGAAGAGTTTCTGATACACAGCCTAGCACAAGACAGGCTGCAAAGCTGAAGAACTGATTGAAACTAGCCTCTCCTTTAAAACATTTATTTAACATCAGTGTGCTGTGAACTCATTTTTTTTCAATTAACATCTTTCAATAAAACACCAGAACTGTATTTATATAAACCCCTTACTAATCCCAAAGATATATACATGCAAAACAGAGAATGTACAGTTAGAAAAGGAAATGCTAAGCCTAAACACTCTGATCTAGGCAGAGGCCCTTGCATTTCACAGTTAAAACGTTCAATGCTCGGAAACTAAGGCTGAGTTAAGGTAATGGTTCTGCATTACAAAGAGCTCAGAGCTGCACTGGCTTCAGATATTCCTGTTGCTGCCTCTGACAAGTGTGCAGACCTATCACTGCCACTAGCACAGGTTTGCGTGCCTGTGCTGGCAACTGGATCAAAGAACTCATTTGGCTTTAAAAAAGAAATTCCTACTAAAAATTTGGAAATAGATGTGAAATGGTGGGCAGGGAAAGGAAAGAAGGGAGAAGTGACCTTGGGATTATGCTACGTTGTTTTTCTTAATGGTTACCAGCAACACCCTGTTTCAAGCTGCAATATTATTTGCACTTAAGTCAAGAGTTAAGTGGCTTAGCTTTCAGTGAAATGTCAAGTCCTGCTGCCTTTTGTACAGACACCAGCAGGCTAACCTTCAGTTAATAACAAAGTTCTACAGAGATCCTGGCTCTGGTGGATCTGCATTTAAACTGGACCTACTGCCAAAGGAATAAAACAGTCTTTGTCCCCCCTAGCATCTTTCTGTTGATGGCTCACTCCTGCCCCACCCTCCTTTTGGTCATGAGTCACATCAGAGAACCTAGCAGGCTGAAATGTAAGTACTGCTTTATGTGAGGCTATTCTTCCAGCCAGAGCAGTTCCAAAGTAAGGTTAATCACACAGCTGCACAAACGCTTGTGCTGGCACAGTGCAGCGATGCACAGGGAGGGACAGGGATGCTCCTCCTGGTAGCTGTCTGTGCTCCTAGAACCCTACCCAGGATTATGGTGTTTATCAGCTTTAATGCTTGGGTAGTCACATTCATTAGCACGTGAAGTGGGAGCTGAGGACTGGTAAGGCTGACAAATCTTACAGTAATAGCGCAGTACCAGAGAAATTCAAGGGCAGCACTTGAGAAAGACCAGTCATTAACTAACCTGTTATACTAGATTTACATCGTGCATGACCCATTTTAACAGTTATGGCTATCCAAAACAAAATTTACCCACAGTGCTCTGCTACGCCTTCCACAGATAAAATGTTGATTAATTAGTTTTTATAAAACTCCTCTCCAATAAATGATTTACAAGTCTGCAAAAAAGCATGATTTATATGTTCAGTTTCTAAAACAGTCTTCCACCAGACCACAGGTTTATTTATCTCTGATCACTGAGGATTATGCTAAGCACATGTGTATATACTCTAGGTTGCAGATAAATGTTTAGTTAGCCATAGTTTGCTTAATCTAAAACAGGCTACTTAGCCTGCTTAGAGAAGAAACAGAATGAGGAAACAGAACAGAAGATCTTAAGAGACTGTCAGCTAGGACTAGAGACTGTTATTTCTGAAGAAACATAAACACATTCCTTCCTTTCTGTAACTGCAGCTAAGTGCCTAGCTAGGTAAAATAGAGACCTGTAAAACATCTTAAGTTTATCAAGAACCCTGTCTGTTTTTACATAAGTTAGTTTTCTTCACGGTTTTAGTAACAGTTTTAAGAACTGCTGTCTATCTGAAGAATTCTCCCCATCTTGCATTTCTGACCTGAACAACCACAAAGCCTCCTTAGACTCCGAAATTCAGTCCTTTACCTGTAAAACAGGTAACTTTTTAACAGCACTTATGGCCACTCAGGACTCTGTCAATAAATACATTAAGGCTGCAAGAAACCCAAGACACAACTAACTAAACATGTTGCTCCAAGGTGAGCTAGAACACCAATTTTCAAATTGTGGATTAATTTTCTGGAGGAAAATATCTTACAGGAGCATAGCGACAGGAAGAAGATGAGTGGCATAAGGATGCATCGTGAAGAGGGGATCAAGGCAGGGAGCAACACAGAAAATGTTGCAGCTAAGCGAGGGAGTGAGCAAAGCTGAGAGCCTGAGCCCTCTACCAGATGTTACTGAGACGAAACATCACATCTCAACCTGTAATCACCACGATTATCCTTAAAAAATCCAATGGCTTACAAACTCTTGGAAAACCTCCTACTGAGTATTCTGAGATTAGCAGGCTTGGTGCATGAATTCCCAGGAGAAATTCTCCACCCTGTTGTACAAATGAAATTAAATGAGATAATTATTCCATCTGACTTCAAAAGGCAGAAGTCTCTCCAACGTGTCACCATGTCCCCCTCAATTACATTATCTGCACAGAGCAACTAATAATCCGCCAACACATTATCTCCAACACTGATATATTAAAATCATTTCAGACAAAGATTCTCAACCTTTTCCATCTGGTGACCTCATTTACCACAGAAGAATGACCTGGGATGGCTCTCCTTTTAGCTTTCAGGAAATCTTCTCAAATCCCAGCCTAGATCAACAGCTCCCCCCAAAGGAGATTTATGGGCACAGCAAATAATAGAAATCGCGTAAGTTCTGTAGTAAACAGTTTGGGGGGCGAGGGGGGAAGGATACAGCAACACTTACTCTCAACAGCGTGCACTGCAAAAATGAGCACAATAGGAGAGAAAAGAGAAATATTCAGATCATTACAATGAAAAGATACAGAGATTCAGACAGAGCAGCATTTAAAACTTGTACGAAAAAGGGGAAGAGTAACAGCTTTGCTGGTGTGCTTTCTAGGCCATATAAAATGACTCCCTAGCTAGCCAAAGGACTGATATAGGGACAAGCAACCATTTAAAGAGTAATTAGAGAAACAAAAATGCAGGAATTAATCACTGAAAGGAGAAATACAGTGGGATGTCCATAAGTGAGCTCTAAAGCAGCATGCTGGGTAACAATGCTGGTTATATTTAGATTCTTCTTCAGTCTTAAGGTAACAGAAAGGTCATTTTAGGAGCAACCAAAGCTATCCAGAAGTGCACTCAAGGTTTACATTCACAACAAATTAATATTCAAAGCTGGGTAACAAGTTTTTGTTCTTAATCAGTCCTGTGCTTCTTTCATCACACCGGATGCACGGAGAAGGTAGCAAACCATAAGGTTGGTTTTGTTCATTCTGTTGCAAGATCCCAACAAAGGTGAACACCTGGAAGGATGGGAGGCAGGTGAAATATACGTTTGGACAGCATATCTCAAAGGAGGTTAAGTAACCTCCTTTTCTGCTTGTTTCGAAAGACTGTTCACATATATTCAACACTGTGCATGACTAACCAATAATTGTCATAGGCTTATACCTCCTCAGAGACGGGCCTCCGAATCCTTCGCACAAGAATTTCGATGCACTTTGCCAAACGCTACATCCGTCGTGGTGCTTCTACAACAGCATGTTTTTTGGTATGGAGAAGGTGTGGAAGGTACGGAGAGCCTCCAGAAGGCTGCTTGACAAACGTTAGGCATTGCCAACAATTGGTGCAACTTGAGCTCTGACGGATTATAGCCCAGTTACAAATGGAAATGTCACGTTTGTGATCTCCAAAACAGACTTGATGTAACTTGAAAACAGCTTGTCCATCTGCACAGAAATGGGTGAAACCTTGCGTCTTTCAGCACCAAGACAACCAAACTCTGAAAGGAGTTTATCAGCCTAAAAAGAAAAGTCCTGAGCAATGCTGAGGATGAAATAAGAATCTCAGCCTCCAGTATTCAGTTTGGAGATGAAAACTGTTAATTCCCTGGCAGACACTACTTTGGGACAGAAGTTAGAATGAGCTCACACAAACACCCTCTACGGAAGGAATACTGTACAGGTGATCAACCAGAGAATTTGGATCTCCTCCACACTGAAATGGTGTCCTTGACTGATAGAGATTGAGTCCCACATTAATTTTTTTCAAGAATGTTGATGGGCAGAAGAGCTCAGATGAGGAACTGGTATCTGTAGAAGGCCTGTGCAAGAGTAACAGCCCCACAACTAGTAGGACTCCAGGAAAGGAACAGAGAAAGAGGCTGCAGTCTCTGCAGAAAAAAGAACTAGTGTCACTTGCTCTTGGTTGCCAATGAGAAGATGCCAAGGGACCCAAAAAAATTACAACCAGTCTTCAGTCAAAGACTGTATGTCCTTTTGCAATTCAGCATCCAAAACACTAAAAAATATGTAAAAATAAGAGAGGATATTAGGGGTCATCCATAGTGTCCAAGGATGCCTTCAAATAGGTCCTTGCTGTCAAACAAATCTCCAGCAGAGAAAGGAATAAATCCTCCCTTAGGTAGAACATTGATGAAGATGTACAACTGACCAGTGAATTTGTGCTCTTAGAGAGCTAACAAAGCTTCGCACATTTCTAGGCAAAGCTCGGTGACTCTGAGTAGGCAGTTCCTTTTCCAAAACCATCATCGTCTCAAAGAGCAGCTTACTTGGGTTTTTTCCTTCCACAATCATCACCACAAATGAGGAGGAAAACAAATGGTAATCACAAAAATAGTGCCTTCAACGATAACTTTGTTCCTCCAGTTGACCATGTAGGGTGTAAGAAGACCACAAAATTCAGACCACATACAGAACTGCTTCACCCACACAAATCGTCATAGTCATTGAGAGTGTATCTTTAGGACAGAGAATGTCCTGAATGTTGTCATCAGTGTCAGCTTCTTTTCTAGGGAATTGAAGAAATCTAATGATACATTGTAAGGAATCCTGAAAAGCTCTCTGGCTCTCAATAAAGCACGATGGGCAATGTCTTCCCTAAAAAACCGTGATGATGGCACTTCAGCCACAGAATGGTCCAAAGATAATCTAAAGGATGAATGGGAAGCCCCAACTTCCCCTCGACTAGAAGAAATATGGCAAGGAAGAGGGAAGTGATATGACGATCATCTCTCTCCTGAGAAACCTATCACTAAGGACTCTCTTCCAGTTGGCTGGAAACTCACTGCCAACCACCGCAGCTGAAGCAGGAGATGGCTGCTACTATACAGGCATGGACAGAAATGGCAGCAGTGCCTGAACCACAAACCTTGGGAGGTTAAAAAGCTACATCATTCAATCATTCCTCTTTTCTCTGAGACAGGAAGGAAAGAGAGGTGGTATGAACCGCTGCAAAGAAAACAGCTATGATATCCAGAATCACAAACTGGCACAGCTGGTGCTGGAGGCTGTCCTTACAGAGGCACAAGTGAAAGAAATAACTTCACCAAAACCTGCAGCACCCTGCATAAACTGAAGATAAACTCTCAGTTTAGGATTCAAAGCCTGTGGAGCAGATACCAGTGAAGCAAGCCCTATCTCAGCTAGTACCAAATGAGTAAGCAGGGCTTATGCTGCGCTGCTTGGAACAGAAGACTGTAAATACCAATAATGTTTGACTTAGGTTTTCCCTCGATGCAGGAGAGCCAGGACTACTAGTTTCAGTGCCAAAAAGTCTGCTTGGAAGTGCTTCCGTCCTCCTCACGACCTCCTTCAGTCCTCCTCTTAATGACCTGGGATTTCTCAGTGCAACTGGACCACAGATGAGCTGAGGAACAAGACAAGACCATTTGCAGCCAGTATGACATTCAGGAGTTGGGGGTCTTCTCTGATACTGAAGATGGAGCATCACGGTGCAGGCTTAAAGTGACCAAATTTCAATGCTTCCAATAACTTGGGATGAAAATCAGCGTCACTGCTTGCTTCAAAAGCAAATTCCCCAAGTTTCAGCTCGAATTCTCCAGGAACACAGCATGCGAAGGACAGACAGAGCACCTGTCCAAGAAGCACAAGCAGTATATTTACGCGCTAGCTAAAAGGTAATTAACAATTATAGATGGCATAAAGGCATAAGATCAGCCGCGTGAATTTTCCTAGAGGGAACAATTTCGATGACCTGAGATGAGGAATGAATAGCAACACACACTAAACCAACTAGTAATTATGAAAACTAAGACAAAATATGAACAAAGTCTATGCTGCAGAACTACCTCTAGTAATAAAGTGCTCAGCCTCCAATTGTCAGCTGAGAAGAACATAGCCTCTCCTTACTCATGAACAGCCAAGAAGGAAAGCACAGTAGAAGTCTGTCTTTTATAGATACAATAGGGGTCAAACTTTATCAATTCTTGAGTCTTCCAGTTAGGTATACCGGAAATGTGAATATGGATGGATAAAAATTGCATTAACCAAGCAGAGCCGGACCTTTCTCTTCAGTTATCTAAAGACAGAAAAACACCCTCCCTCAATTTCCAAGTTATATTTCCTTCAGGGCCTGGGGATTATGAGAAACCAAAAGGAATGCAAAGTTGTATTTAATGACTGTGCTGAACATCAAAAGAAGATAAGAACAAAGATTACACACAAGCATAGAAAAAACATCCACGCAAACAAAAACAAGGGAAGTGAAATCATCTCACCTGGATTTAACATTCATGCAGGCAGAAACAAAACAAAATAAAAAGAACAAAATAACTTTTTTCTTACAAGTGGACAAACTTTTTTTTTTTAATTTACACACAGTTTTAGTTTTCCAGCATTTCCAGTGTTTCTAGTTCCTTCAGACACATGAATACTGCATAAAGACAGGAAGGAGAACTTGTGTTAAAACAAGTGAAATGTCAAACACTTACTTTGCAAAAAAAAAAAGATTATCAGGAGACCATCAGAGGTCCTTGGGGCATAAAGACTACTAAGGTATAAGGATATTTAAGAAATAAGTCTGGGGTCACATAAGATTTGGGTAATACATTTTTCTGAGAAAGTTTGAGATGTTAGGGGCTTGATTTTTTTATGAACAACCCTCAGGACATTTAGAATGCCAAACACAAGGGAAATACGGTCTGAATCTATTTCAGATGTTACCCTATGATGAGATAACACACTTGCATGTCTTAAGAGCATGAGATTCATAGGCTACCTACTTCAAAACTTTGATTCTTGTTAATCAACATACATGTCTGCATTAAAACACATATACATACCATATTATCAAACTCAGAATCGCCAAATGTGATTGTAACTAATAAAACCTGATATTCAGTAAACTCTTAAGAAGGGCAGCTTTCATAAGGCTTACCCACTCAGACAGTATTTAAAAATGAAAAAAATTGGAGAGCAATTGCTGATAATTTGATTTTGGTGGCTACTCATTAGCATTCTCCTGATTAGGAAAGTAACTGAATGTAGGCTGCTGTATTTAGCTCATGTTAGCAAACTTGAATGTAATTTCAATCTTTTTCCCTAGTCCAAAAAAGGACCTCTGATCTCCTCTGTCTTAATGGAAGGACTTCTGCCAAGCCAAAGACAAAGAATCAAAGTTCATAGATGTAAGAAATGGGATGAACTCCTCTGGGCGAGGCTGCTCCCTGCATTTTACCTATATTCCTCTCACATTCAGCTGGTGCTGACAAACCTCACCTTATGTTAAGTTTTAGAATCTATAAAATTATTTCAAGTCAAATGATTCTGGGGACAAAATATGAGTATGCAAGAACAAAAACACAGGCAAGGAGAGAGAACTGCGTATGGAAAAGGTAGCCCAAACAAGAAATGAATAATCCCTGAAACGTAAGACTTCTTCTGGGTCACATCTATACTAGGGCAGCTACTCAAACAAAATAAAAGGACATGA